AAAAAAAAAAAAAAACAACAACAACAAAGGAACAATTTATATTACAATAATTTATCACTAAGTTACTGCTAGAGCAGAATGAATACCACTGAGGCCAATATGTAACAAATGTTCCAGCTTACCTTTTCACTACCAGCCAGATCTACCAGGTAGAGCTTTCCACTGAGCTTCTGCTCTGTTTGAGTATTCTCCTGTTTAACGTTAATCAGGAAGATACTGTGACTCCTGGAGCTGTGCTCGTTCATGTCTGAGGGAGAAGCGACATTGGGTCAGACATTGTCAGCCTATAAAATACAAAATCGACAGTAAATAGATTCATGACAGAGGGTGGCAGCTTACTTGTAACTGCTACATGTCTGTTAGCTTTTCCTTCATCAATTGTATCCATGACCTCCTCTGGGCTGCAGACAAATCTCTCAGTGCAGCCCTTTAAAAAAGGAAAACATGAGGTTAGACTCTTGGTCGTCTCTTTCCAGCAGGTTTTACCAGTTTGTTGAAATCTGATATATATGAGTAGGTCTCACCTTGACATAAGGTACTCTGTTTTTGTCTTCATGCACTGACAAATTGGTCTTTGACACTGGAAGTAAATTGGAATAAATCAGCCTTACAAACTAATTTTGAACTACAAACAATTTGAAATGGAAACATTTAATTCAAAGGCATTATAAAAGACAAAGCCATGACATTAGAAAGAATCCTGAAATGAAATCTATAGACGCAACAGAAATGGCAGAGAAAAAGCCTTTAAAACCATAAAACAGCAAAACAAGTGCTTTTTGTTTTGTCAATATTTGACTAGTTTCTCTGTATAAGTACATTCCAGTTCCATTTATTGTACTTTTTATATTTTACATTTATATTTATTATTGCGTTTTGCACCAAGGGAGTGGCACTCCAATTTTGTTGTACTTTGTACAATGACAATAAAGGCTATTCTATTCAGTGACCAGTCAAATTAAATTAAATTTAGATAACATTTCTAAATTACTGTCTAAATTAGTGCCCTGTGGCATTTCACAATGCTGCCAAGTGGCGAGACTTGTAGATGTATTGAAACTTATGGACCCATTATACTCGCTGTTCCTGCGCTGGCCATATAAAGGCCCTTTTTCCGACCAGAAAGTTCTATTATTCATATCTTCATGTGTGTTCAGTCTTCTGCCATTTCTACATCTATCTTCACTGTCTTGGACTTCTAAACCAGTTCCTTTTAGATCGTTTACAACAGGGGTGTCAAACTCAAATACACAGTGGGCCACAATTCAAAACTGGAACAAAGTCGCGGGCTAACGTTAATATTTATTGAAGAAAAAAAAAAAAATCTTCCTCCAGATATAAGAATGAATCTTTTCTTATGGACTCAAACATGTTTTGCTGAAAAACTAAATATGGAACAAGCAAAGCTTAATACTAAACAATGTATATATTAGCTGTATAATACCAGTAGGCCAGCTCAAATAGTAATTTGGTATGGCTACGCGGGCCAAATGTAATTAGGCTGCGGGCCAGAGTTTGACACCTCTGGTTTACAACAAACAAAGCCAGAAAAACTCAATCAGCAAGAAATATGACAACCTGTAACTTTTTTACAATTAATAATAAAACACCTAGTTTATTAAAATATGACAACAAAACCTTATTATGCAATGTAGGGCAATACAAGAACTGGGTACTGTGAGAGATTTAAGGCACAGCACAACTGACACAACAAAACACTAAGGATCAGCTTCTGCAGCTCATTTTGATATGAATATATAGTGAGTACTTGTACTGTTAGCATAACACGCATGCTACGCACTTGTGTAGTAGTGATTTTTGATAATATAGTGCATCTTGAATTAAAGATGGCAAGTTTCTTTCTTTACCTTTACCTGCTATTTTCACTGAGACAGTGAAGATAGCAATTCAAGATACGTAAAACAAGGCCACAAACTCACATGTTAACAAGCTTGCTAGACCTCAGTAAGCATCAGTAAAATCGCTTGTCCTGACTCTGCATCCTCATGCAACCAACTAAAAACTGCCCCTCCCTTTGGTCATCTTTCTATTTCTGCTATCCTGAGTCAAGATGGCAGCGACTTGGTAAAGGAAGTATACATCATCCCACTATTCATAGAGCACTTTATAAAGTCGTATTTGATAGTGTAAACATATGACTCAAAATGTGTAAGCATGGAAATACGTGATGAAGATAAAATAAAATACAAATAAACAAAAGAAATATTTCTCTTGAAACATCCTGCTCCTATGCTTAGTTTTTAGATGTTTTTATACATTGTTGCACTTACAAAATCACCTACACTTGCAATTCTGTACATATACAGCTAACATCTGCCACACCGTGCTTCTAACTGCTGCTCATTAATTTCCATTTCACAGACTCCTCCTTTGACATGTGTTACCAAAGTTTGGTACAATTAGAGGAGATGAGAAATGTTTGACACTTACCATCCAAAAGGTCCCGGATCTTGTCTAAGTAGATTTCAAAATATGAAACCTGTAAACAGATAAACAATCTCATTATGCAGGGCCAAACTGAAGGAACAAACTAGACAATCCAGATGCACACTCATCGATCTGCCTTAAAATCTGGTACTTAGTACAGTTTCACAGAAAGGGCTTTAACACAAGAGCAGAGCTCAAAGGAGGTGGGTCAAACAGGAAATATGACATTGCAGTTCAAAGCATATCACCCTTCTCCGTCTCTTATATTGTCTCAGGCAAAAGAAATGCAGAATAACCGCAGACTACAAAAAAAGAAGGAACTAAGCAGCTTGTCTCTTGCACTCATAGTCTCAGATCTTAACCATATATCTGAAAATGTAACTTCAGTTTTAAGGAGTAAAAACTGCACTTTTTATAAAAAACTTTTTATCTGTTGGATCACTGTATTATGCATCCCGTCTTCTTACTTTGATATGAAACTCTAGGTTTTCATCCATGGAATAGATGTAGTTGAAGATGTCTTGCACTATCCTGGGGATAATTCCCATTGAATCTGTGTCATGGAGATTCCCCTGGGAACAGAACAAATTACTGTAATGTCTCAAAGTCAAATGAAAATTTTATTGAAGACAAGACTTGGAGGCCATCCTTACCTCCATGGTGTGTGTTTTACCAGATGATGTCTGCCCATATGCAAAAATTGTCCCATTATAACCCTCGAGAACATCTACAAGAAAAGAAAAAAAAAAAACAACTCAGAACTTAGTAAAGCAAAGATTCAACTGATCTGCTGTGTAAATGCCTGTAAACGAGCAAATATAAAATGATTACAAAAATAAAAGCGACCCCTCACCTTTTACAATCTTTTGGGCGCAGGCGTTGTACACTTGTTCTTGTGTTGTATTTGACTGAAACACTCTGTCAAACATGTAAGGTTTACCCTGCAGGGGGGAAAAAATAAGAAAAAAAAGGATGAGGAGTATTAATGACAGTAAAAAAAGAATGAAAGCCAATAATCTGCAATCTCTGAAAAATAAACCGACTTGTGTTTTGTAAACAGATGTGTGTACAATAGTTTCTTTCACTAACAGACACAATAGGAATTCACAATGGACGATGTTCCCACCCAGAATCGGATAGGTGTTTCCTGATGGAAGCTGTCCAGCAGGCTGTAAGTTATACAAACTCACAAAAATGTCCAGCAGCAGCAGCAGCATAGATTTATCTATAGTAACTCAAAGATAGACATGGGGACCCACCACACATTATTTACTTGGATTACTAAATAATACTTTGTTACAATAAATAACACACGAGTAATTAGCTGCTTATCCAAACAGTTTCTTGCTACAGATGTTCTGCACTTGGTGACAGTAGTTCTTCTTCTGCAGTCTTTCACAGCACAGTGGAGCAGCCCACTAACCGCCTCTCCACCTGTGGCAAAAGTTCTGTTTTTTGTGGCCTTCTAGCTTAGAAGACCTACCATCATAATGGTAGATGGTGATGTCAGGGTGGACCCCTGATCGTGACACAAGAGACTCGCCAGAACATGGATCTGATCAGCCTGCCAATAGCAGAACATGACACCAGAAGGACCAGGGCTAGCTGGTAAGCAGTAACTGAACCTTAAAAATAAGAGTGGCAGTATTGTTCACCAGTGAAATCATTAATGGGCGATCGTGGCTCAAGACTTGGGAGTTCGCCTTGTAATCGGAAGGTTGCCGGTTCGAGCCCCGGCTTGGACAGTCTCGGTCGTTGTGTCCTTGGGCAAGACACTTCACCCGTTGCCTACTGGTGGTGGTCAGAGGGCCCGGTGGCGCCAGTGTCCGGCAGCCTCGCCTCTGTCAGTGCGCCTCAGGGTGGCTGTGGCTACAATGTAGCTTGCCATCACCAGTGTGTGAATGTGTGTGTGAATGGGTGGATGACTGGATATGGAAAGCGCTTTGGGGTCCTTAGGGCCTGTATTTAGCTATATAAATACAGACCATTTAATGGTTGTAAAGTCTACGTGTGGGGAAACACTGTTAATTGTACTTTAGGTGCGTTTCCTCAGTTGTTAAGTGTTTAAAAGCATTTTTTCCCCAAACACATTTTCCTTTTTTTTTTTTTTTAAGAGAAAAAACTGCAAGATACCACGAAATGTATTTTAATAGGAGGGATGACATCTGATGTTGGACAGATGTCCAAACCTAAACTAAAACCTTGGCGGCTTTTATACTGTTGTATTTTTTTACTCTCCACCCAATTCATCCTTTGTCAGCTGCACTCTAGTTAACCTCTAAATGCTTGCATTTCCCACCTAATATAGCTTTTCTCATCCCACATCACTCTCTCCCAGCATTTGAAATAAACTAAAGTATACCCTGAGCTTTTAGTGCTAATTTAAGAGCCATCCTGCTTCAAAAAAGCCAAGTGTATCTCACTCTGACCCACAGGCTAGTCAAAACTTCAAAGTAGACTTTCAGTCAGATAGCAATCAATAGCTGGCAAGATGACGAAGTGCAAGATGAGGAAGAAGATGATGAGCTGCAGGGCGATAAAACTAATGATACAAGCAAATCTGAAGTTCAGCTGGGATGGCATGCTATCTCTGAAGGTTTGGATCTCTCATCTTGTCTTCAGCCGTACAGGCGAGGACGTAGCTGTGATGTGTTAACAGTCTGAGCACAAGAGAGCCTCATTAGTGATAGCCCAGGTTAAAAACAGACATGGCAGCAGGTAAGTTACTGTCAGATTCAGCGTTAACACCTGTTTAGGAAGATGAAAATGCCGACAAGCAGCTGCTGTCACCTTGAAGGCTCCACTTACTAGCTTGAGGCCAAGAATAAAAGCAAACACATTCACTACTCAAGGTGAAGTCACAGATACTTCGTAGCCTGGCAGCAAACGCAACAGCCTGTTTACCGGTGTTGGAATCATTCAGACGACTGCAGCTGTGCTTAGATGTCCTCAATTTGCACACCGGCTCATAATCCCCTCCTGACAGACGGTCACATCTAAAGCACAGCTCTGTGCAATACCTACCGGCAGCATCTTAAGACATTTGTAATTCACTCCAGTTAGCCACATCCCGGAAACTGACCCAAAACAAGAGTGCTGAGCCACTATCAGGACTGCCAGACGCTGTCAGCAAACAATAGAGCTTGACTTTAAAGTCCTCATTGTTACCTGCACTTACGTCTAATGGGATTACTGTCTGTAATTGTAACTGCAGTGAAATGTATTGTTAGAGTATTTATGAGTGCCCTGTCACACCCCTTGCTTCCTGATGGTTTTCTATGAGACGTATTAAGTTATATCTTAGACAATAAAGCTACAATTAGATTATTCTACCAACACCCAATGCGTCTTAATATTCGAAGCATGATACAACCATGGGTTTTTTTTTCCCAAAATCTGGATTTTTCTTACATATGGCAGAAAAAAATAAAAGGTGTTGACTGCTTTCTCTCTTCTCTGTCATCTGTTTAAGTGCTTCTGTCACAAGGACAGAAAATCTTCAAACCATTTCATATCATTTCTGTTTCAATTTGCTCCTTTTGCATATTTTTTAACCTGATTTCGCTGTTTTGTCCAGTTTTATTTCACTTAGCTTTTTTATGTTATTTTGATTTTTTTTTTGTTATAGTTAATGTTTTGGCTGCTGGAACACAGTAAGTTCCCATGGTTTGGGATAAATCCAGTATATCTGATTAATCTCATCTTACATATTGCATAAGCACTTTTATTTATCCTGGGTTTCTCCATACTAGGGTTTTCACAATTAAATACAAGAATATCAATACTCCTGTATTAAGTGATACTAAAAATTTATATTGAATTAAAATACACCTTTGCAACAGTATCGATACCAACAGTGGCCTCCTCCAGCCGATTCACAACTTCATACAACACTGCTGCAGATAGACGATGAACGTTAACTATGTGTTTATTCTTAACTTTTTCATACTGTTCTTCTTCTAAAATAATTCAATTATTTACAGAGTAAGTATTTTTGGTGTTTGTGACCTAGGTATCAGTGCCTAGGTTCTGAAACATATTTTACCTTCACGATCTGTCATAAAATGATTCAAATACTCTGTAAAAACTTCTAAATACTTATTTTATTAACTCTGACTTCAAATTGGGAAAGAAAAAATTTAAATTAACAGGTTAAATTAACAAGTTTTCGAGAGATGACTTCGCCATTACTTCGGTTGTTGCAGGGTGGGGTCAAAATCTTCCCCTTTGTGAAAACAATATGGTATCAAATATTTCCTGAGGTATCAGTACCGAGTTTCAAATTCTAGTATTGTGACAACCCTACCAAACACATCAATATTACTTGGGCAGACCATCCAACAATACTAGCGACTCATTTTAGCGTTTACATGCGTAATCAAAAAGTTCTTGTTTAAGAGTTTAGTTGCTGCTAACCAGCTAGCCCACATCATGCCAAGATCGGGTTTTCCTACCGTCTAAGACTCCTAGGACGTAGGACCTACTTCAGTGCTGCCACCTTACTCTACAGTTTGCGTCTGTCCTTGGAAATTCTATGTGAGCTGGAAGGTTCCTCTAACAGCAGGTGAAGGACCAGGTGTGGTCATGTGGAGCTCACCACATTTGCAGAGCAGAACTATCCACCAACTGCCACCAGCAGCTCACTTGAGAAGCATCTTATTGTAATGTTTAGTTATTTCCCACAGGGAAAAACAAACAATTCCAAGAGGAGAAACTAGTGTGTAGCTCTTTATCCACCACACATGTACTCATATGTGCATTATCCTCTTTTGCATAATTTCCCTCCCATTTATCTTTCACGCTTTTGCAGTACTACACTTTGTAAAAGTACCTCAAAGCTGTTCTTGAGGGACATCTGAGGCTAATGTATGAAAATAGCAAACGTAAAAGCAAAGGAAGGGGGTGATGACCTAATCTTTCTGTGTACCACTGACGGAGAACGAAAGCAAGCATGAATAATTCACCTGCTGCACACTCACACTAGGATGGCAAAGCTTTCTTGGCAAATCAAGCTAGTTACGACACCCATACCACCTCATCTGCAAACTTCATCTACCTCTCGCTTTCAAGCCAAAAGACTGGGAGTACCTAAAAGTGAGCTACTGGGGAACTCTGATGTATTGCATAAATTCCTCCAAAAAGTGTGCTGGTAATCAGCAAATATCAAAGCTAAAAAGGAGCATTAAGCACTATCAAAATGGTCTGCACTGGTCTAGCTGCTTCTCTTTACAGCTGGAAGTGTGGGCACTGATGCTGAGGTATCAGTCCCAGCTCAGAGTCCACGCCCTGAATTGTTTCAAAAAGGACATAAAGTATGAGCTAAGAGCATCTGCAAAACAAAATACATCACCATAATAATTACCCTCCCCACCCGCAGTGGTTGCCCAGCGCCCACTTGCTCTGATTGGTCCAACAGCTGGTAACCAGGAGAGAAAAACACCAGGGGATTACACAGGATCCCTGAGCTGCTGCCGGTCCTGTACTTCTCGAAGCAGATTTACCAACAGAGACGATTCGCTTCTGGCTCGCAACACTTGCGTCTCTCAAAATCTGCACTGGTATTTTGCCACTATGACTGGCACTCTGAACTGGGCAGGGCCGCATCATGCCTTAGCTGCACAGACAGTGTGCCTGCTATTAGCTAGAGGCCTGAAGTCATTGTCAGCAAAACTATTCAAGAACTCAGCACACAGCTCTAACGGCCATCTCTGTTTTTGCATGACAGGAAATGAATGGCTGTGTTGTACTCTACAATCACCACCTAAATTAGTAGTTTTACTCGAGAAGACGTGACTCAAATTCACGACAAGTTTCTATTGCCTTCTAATCTCTCTTAAAGCTGTACTTCAATTGGTGACCACATCATAAAGATAGCAAAGTCCACAAAGAGTGAGGCAGTTCGCCGTCAAGAAAAACTAATATTTAACCACGTTTTCTTCAAATAATATGCCACTCCCTTTCACCTGTTGAGCATACACTGTAAAATTTATATGTCAGTTCAGGCTTTAGGCTGTTTGCTTCTTAATTACAAGTAACTGTGAAATACATAAAGATCGGGTAACTTCCTTTTGTGTAGAGGCATGCAATGGCAGGACATCAAGTTGTGTGAACAGCTCCTGCTCTAGACATGCTTTACAGGCCTGCGATGACAAAGCATCAAGTGCACATTATTTGCAAATGGTTCTCAAGTCAAGTTCTTTGTTGGTTTAGTAAAATGGAGGTAACGTGGTACTGCAAGGCATTTCCTTCTTTTGTTGTGATGGTAACTGTTCCAAAGCCTTTTATCCTTATCAAGTGCAAGGGGGGGTAATTAAACTAAAGACAAAAAAACTCTAGTTTAAACATCCTGAAAAGAAAACACATGGATTTTATAAGATAGCACTGCAATGTGTCCAGTCACTTTAGTCCAACAGACTACAACTGGCCTGCATGATAATGGACATTTCCACTCCCAGTTATTGTGTGTCAACGTTTCCTCTTCCTCATTTCCACCCTCATATCCAATACTCTGATAAACTTCAGCATGGTCTGCAGAAGGGTTGGTTCAACAGCCAGCTGGTCGGCTATCTGATGTTAGCTCTGATTAAGCTACAGTATTAATACTAGCCAGCTAGCCGAGGCCAGCTAATCTGTCAACTACCAGCTGGCCTAGCCTGCTAGCCACTACCAAATCAAAGCTGGCTTACGCTTTATGCTGACGCAAACTGTTCAGAATTAATAGAGTTATCGTTACAGATGCACACTCTATGAATAATTTATATCGTTATAATATTGCAATTTGTAAGGGATGGGACTGGCAGGCAAGCGCGCGGCCGCCGACGACATTTTAACCTGTCGCTGTTTGTGGCTTTGTTGAATGACAGCTCGCTAGCAATGACAGGGCAACCGCGAGTGGTGACATTTTTATGACAACAACTACTGGGCTTTGTTTCCGAAACGTGGAATTAAATCCTGCCGGAGTCTGTATATAAAATTAAAGCTGAAGACTTAGCACGTTATATGTGAGCCACTGAATCGAGGCGCCAGCCGAGGGCCAGCGAAACAACGCAACCGTGAGCAGGTTAGCGCCGCTAGCTACCAGGCTAAGGTGCTAACTGCCGTCACCGAAAGACAAAAATGGCGTACGGCTGCCAGTGCCGGAGGGCTCTGTCAAACAGGTAGCAACACAAATCAACTCACCCCGATAATGACGGTATCTTCCCCTTGAAACTTGGGAATGTACTTGTCGCCCCTGGTCACCTCGGAGCTGTTCAGGGGCCTAAAACGGCACATCACTTTGATGGTGCACTCCGCCGGGTCGGCCATCTTCCACGGTTCAAGAATGGAAATTCACGAGAAGAATTAAAGTATATACTGGATCTCAGGGGCGGCCGTGAGAGGCGAAAAGGGAGGCCGAGCCCCTCTGTCCCAATCTTAGGTTCTAGAAAGGGCGATGATCAGTTGGACATTAGACAAAAATCCTTGTTTTTCCACTCAGTCACTTCCCCCCGTCCTGTTAGGAAGCCATGATACCGGTGGATCAGCGGCTGGCCACCTCACCCCTCCTGCTACCGTGGATGTGGATCACAATGACGTCACCCGGCAGGCGCTCCCCTCCTTACTGTTTTTCTGTAGTGAAATCGTCATTAATCAGCAAATACACACAAAAGCTCACAGCAGCTGCCCAAAGTATTTAAAGTATTTGTACCTTGCTGCCACTTTTCACTTGTACTTAATTTTAGATCATTTCTTGTAGTCATCACTCAATACTTTGTATTTTAAGTTAAAAACATGCCACACCTGTAATTATTTTCAATAGATGAGAAATTAGAACAATACAGAAAGCAATCAGCATTAAAATGATGTATGAATAAAACTGGTGACACAGGGAGCAGTAGTTAGCTCCGTCTCCTCGCAGAAAGAGGATGTTGTCAAATCCACCTGTTGGCTGAGTTCCTTTTGTGTGGTGTTCGCGTGTCCTCCCTCAACTTGCGTGTGCATCAGTTCTCTCCAGGTTATACTAGCTTTCTCACACAGTCCAAAGATATACTTGTTATTTGGTGAATGTGCACAATCATTCAACCAAACATTCAACCATTGAACTGTGTGCTCCTTGAGCCACAGTTGCACACAACCACAATAATGTTTTATATATTATGATTTTACTATAAAAGATATGTCATAAATTAGTTTTGGTCTTAAGCTCAATAAATACTTACCCCTGTGTTGCCATAAAAATGGCATTATCATACACTTATAAGATTGCCTAAAATTTACTTTATGCCTCAGAAGGGAAAAAAATGGATGCAGAAAATGTGTTTATATATCATCCATCGTGGTTTTTAAACCTCTGTAAACCATGTACATAGACTATAAATGTGTCAAATTTAGCATCATAACATTAGACTTATTCTTCATTCTTAGATTTGAATGTTTCACTGAATATTTATGAGGTTCAATAAAACAGACAAAATGTATTTATGTTCCACAGTGTGGGAGTCTTGTTTATCTAATCTGCCAGGGAACTATTAGGAACAGTAGTGCTATTGTTACTTCCGAGAGAAGACAGAATTACGGCATGCTGTGAAGGTTGCGCTGTGAGACCTCCTCATAACTAAAAATTCATCATGCCTGACCTCACTCAGCAGATGCCATATAATGGAGCAAAAGCCGTGGCAAACCGCTAGCGGCTGGACACATTTCCAGGCCACTCCCTGAAACACTGAGTGATATCCTTTTTCATGTTAGAGTGCTTAGCTAATCCGAATACCAGTTCTACTGGCCCACTTGTGTGTTCACAGAGGGATGAAAGGGTGTGGCGCTGCTGTGTGAGCTAACAGGGTAGTCTGGCTATAACTGAGCAACAAGTCCCCACAGACCACATTGTCGACTATGTCTACTGTACTGGTAATAACAACAGGAAGGGCTATTCAGTCATATGAGCTCTTATTATGTCCCTCTTTATTCAGCTAAATCTGGGATGAGTCTGGCCTTTCATGGTATTTAAAAATGAATGCCTTTACGCCTAAATTTGATTGAAACATGAAAAGTCAACACTTGTCTTTTGATGCTGTTAAAAACTCTTAAATTCATCCTCATTTCAAAATGTTTACCCACTGAATATCCTTGTGTTGACTGGAGGTATGAATGGTACAAAGTCATGAAAGTTTAGTAGCTATTTCTATCACAACTAGTCACTGATTCAAAAATATTTCTTTCTTTTATAGAATTTTATCATTTTGATTTCACATAGCATAATGGTGTGGTAGGACTGTTGCCTCACAGGAAGAAGGTTCTGAGTTTGATATACCGTCTGGCCTCTCTTTCCATGTCTGTGTGGGTTCTCTCTAGGAACTCTGACTTTCTCCCACAGTCCAAACACATCCAGATAGTTAAGTGGTCATTCCAAATAGCCCACAGGTGTGAATGTGAGTGCAACTGGTTGCTTGTCTCTCTGGGTGTTAGCCCTGCAGCAGACTGGCAACCTGTGCAAGGTATACCCCGCCTCTCGCCCTATGGCATTTTGGATAGGCTCCAGCCTTGGAAGAAAATTGATTAATGGAATTTGATTGCCATTTATTCTTATCTGTCTTATCAGGCAGATCCCAACTTTAACTCCAGGTACACAGACTACTATTACTAGATGTCATTTGATAATATATAGGTAAACGCATAAAAAAAAGTTTATTCCAGCCATGTGCATCTACATATACATAGATATCATGGTGAGTTGCAGTGTGGGTTTACTGTATTAGCCTCTTTCCAGTGAAATGTCTTGTTTTCACTGAGTTTTAAAGTGTTGTTTGAGACGTTTCCAGAAGTGTCCATGAGGAAGAGATGTCCTTTCACATTTCAAAATATATTTAGAATCATTTTTCAATGACCTGATGACCTTTCACATGTCACATTATCTAACCAGGAAGTGAAGCTCATGAAATCAGTCTCTTTTGTGGGTGTTTCCTGGGCTCACAAAAGCCTATAGGAATTTTTTTCCCCAAAAGAGGGAGAAACCCAATCTCCTGGACACAACCCACGCAAGCATAGAGAGAACATGCACACTCCACACAGAACAGCCCTGCCTGGGTTTAAACTCAAGATCCTCCTGCTGTGGGGCAACACTGATCCACCATGTTGCCAAAGGTTTTTCAGAGATTTTGCTCGGTGGCACTGTAATACACATTTATTTGAGCCCCCTGCCTCTCAAATCACATGTGTACTGAAGAGCTCAGCATCCAGCTAAGCCTATTAGTTGACAGCTGTGTCTTATTTATTGTAGTCATGTAGTGTGTAGGTTTAGTTTCACTGTAAATGCCTTAGGCTTTAGGCATGGATGTGCTGATGAGTGTTTGCACAGGGGAAAACAACGACACTGTCATTCACGCAGTTACATCCAGTCATTTTATGGGAAAGACATAAATTAAAAATGGGTGACATAAAGTCTGTCATACAACTGCCTCATCATCATGTGGTGAAACTGAAAACTAGAGCAACAGTGTTTTTTCAGATCTTTAAAAAGACACTTTTACATCTAAACACATTAAACATTTTACTTAAATATATAATAATTAGTATCAAAATATATCCAGAGAAGCAAAAATAAAATACTCATTATAGGAAATGTCAAATTTCAAAATAACAGGTACTATTTCATCAGTTAATGTGGCATCTGATACTAATTTTGGTTCAAAGGTGCAAATCCCAAAAAGTTTCATCACTTATCCAAGTGACTTCAATCATACTTATCTAATCTGACCGTCTTCCAGTAGCTGTTACCATGAAAATCAGAAACTCATGAATTTTCTGCTGTGTTAAGACTTGTTCCATCCTAAGAATGAGAAAAGGACAGACAAATGAGAAAAGGTCAAACTTGACTAAGATTGTCTAAACATGTCAAAAAATCTGTACCACACAAGAAGAACATAAGGTTTTCTGAGTAAATGATTAAACATTTCATCGTAAGCCCAACCTAACTGAAAGTACCAGCTGTCAAACACATCTGTCCAGCTGCCAGCAGTGGTACCATGAACATTGTGGATGACAGAGGTTTATAATCCATCATTATAATGGATTATAAACCATATCATAAACTGGTACATTTATCACCCAGTCGTGATAAATGTACCAGTCATTTGTCTAGAGGTGTCGGTAATTGACAGGATGTAGGACATCTTTGAAAGTTTGCAAAACTTGAGAAATAAACCAAAACTAATGAATTAAAACGGTTCATAGCAATTAGATGAAAATGAACTGATTAAATAAGTTGAGAGGGCAAAATGTTAAAGGTTTTTTTGTGATAGAATGTGTGACATCCTTTTGTAAAAAGTTCATTATTTTGTACAATAAATATTTTTCATACTGTAACTGGTTCCCTTGTGCAAACACTGCACACATTTCCAATACTATGCAGCTTATACCCGGTTATACTGATCTATAAAGCCAGATGACACACATCAGTTAAACTACAGGCACGACTTAAATGCACAATGGTCTAAATGATCTGTAACTTTCTGTTACTGCATTTAGCCCCAAAGAGGCTAGAAACACTGTCTAACCACTGTGACCATAAACTAGGATTACAATACAAAAACTTTTGAGACAACTATTGCTGTGAACTTGCACTTTAAAAAAAAATAATAGTAAGCTTAATTAAACTATACATTTTGTAACTGTCAAGCTGATAACAAACTTACTAGTGACAGAACAGTCATAGATTCAGTAATGTTACTAAATGATGGTCAGCACCGGCTGGAGGTTTAGATTTGCTATTGTTCAGTTTTTTTGCATTACAGATATTTGATTTGGTTGCACAAAGTATAATTGAATTAAAATCAAATTAATTTCATTTATATAGACCAAAATCACCACAACTGTTGATTACAGGCACTTACAGTTGCACCTTCAATTCAGGTATACAAAACTATAAATTTAAATAGTATTCAAATGTGATAAAATATGAACGCTAACTTTGTTTGCCACAAATCAACTCTGTAAAGTTTTCTCTTTTCTTGGGCATTCCTCTAGCAGCTTCCTTTGCACTGGAAAACTAAAGTGTGTGATCACAGGTGAAGTGAAGGATATTTTTCCAGTGCAGGGTTTAGAGTGCTTTATTTGGTGATACCTGTTGAGCAACTTTTCAAAATAATCTCTAAGGATCCAACTGTTGAAGAAAGATTATTTCTGTTTACTGTTAGGCTAAAAAGCTTCATACAGACATAACAATTTCTAGTCTAAGCTAGGAAAGAGCTTGGAAAGAAAAGCGTGTGGACATCTTTAAGTTTCTTGAAGACTTTTCACCTCCCATTCAAGAAGCTTCTTCAGTTCTAAGAGAAATTGGTGGAGAGTCCTAGATTTCTAAGCCCTATTAGGAGTGTCCCTAAGAGAGTTGTGGACCCCCTATTGAGCCTTTGCCTAATCACACGAGCCAAGGTGTGAAAACAGGTATACATCTGCTGTACAAAGTATGGAATTTCGGAGTTGTCTTTCTTTTCCTTTAGTCTTGGGCCTGCCCGAAACATCTCCAGTCCAGAAGCTTTTCTTTCTAAGCAACTTAGACTACTCTGACCCGTATGACTGAGAAGCTTCACGGACATAACAATTTCTAATATGTCAGCAGCATCACATTATATGCCCACAAGGCATATAACACCCCTACGCACCAGCACTGTGCTTATATCATACTTTAATCACATTATATTTATATTTTTATCAC